CTCATCCAGCTCATTTATTCTAGCCTTTCCCCAGAGGCCCAGGCTGCAGAGGGGAGGAGGAGGGTATTAAATATCGGAGAGTTATTTAAAAGCCAGTTGCCTACCCCTCAGAAGCAGAGTGGCCTCTGCTGACTCAATGGAGAAAATGAATCTTGGGCCTATGGATTTTCCCGTGTCTCATGGAAGTGGGGGCAGGGGGAGTGAGAAATGGGGACAGCAGAGCCTGCAGTGGTTTTCTCCACCCTGCCAGTGCAGAAGCTACACGAGAGGAGAGAACCCGGGTCCTCCCCCACCACCTAAGAACGGCACTTCATCACGTCAGCCCTGCTGGCTGCCTCTCCACTTGCCTCAGGGGAAGGAGGAGCAGCAGGGAAGAGAGACTGCCAGGATAAAGGGACCCCACTTGCAGGCTGCTGCAGCATCAGACTTAGGAAGACCCCCAGATCATCCTACCACCACTTTATAGTTGGGGTGAGGCTAAGTTCAAGGTCACACATTAAGAAGATGGGGGAACCAACGTGGGCAAATCACAGTATTACCTTCCCTTCCATGACCCCCATCCCTAAAAAGCCAAGGGGCACAGGACAGAAAAGCCCTCCAAGATCATCCTATCCACACACACATACCCCTTCTTTGCAGACTGAGAAACTGGGATCTGGAAAGGCAGACTTGCCCAAGGACTTTAATAGCACTAAGACACCTCTGATGGACAAAACAGAGCTGGAGGTTGATGGGGAAGGGGCTACCTGCTGGGAGACCTCAGTGACATCACCAAACCTCTCCAGGCTCCCTGGACCTGGTAGGGACCTTGGTAGGGACCAAGGCTCAGTGGAGCTTACAGAGAGTGGGCCTTTGCAGGGAGAAAAGGAGCCCAGTGAAGGAGCTGGAATTTAGGGAAGGGGACAGCACCTTGGAAGGCTCAGAGATGTGCTCTGGGGCTTTGTTGGATAAGACATTCAGGAACTGGGGTCCAGTGTGGCTGACATGGGGATTCTTAACCTGGCACAGGGCAATCACTGCCTGGGAGGGGCTGGGGTGACCTGCTTGCCGAGTCCTAAGGAAACCCTGAGGGCCTGAGGTTTTTGCCCACAGACTCTCCTGGGATCTGACCCAGTCACACTCCCCAGAGAGAAAGCTTAGGATGGGGAGAGCTGTGGCAAAGGAGATGAGCAGGAAACCCGAGGTCCTGTCGGGCTTGGGCCCCAGTCAACTGTGCAACCTTGGGGAAAGCACTTAACCTTTCTGAGTTGCCACCTCCCAGTGTAAAGTATAGGGGGCTCCTTACCCAGCCTACCTAACAGGGATGAGAGGATCAAACCAAAGATATTTAAATCATTATTTCATTCGATAAGTGACGCCTTGTGGCTTCTCCATGCTGACCTCTGAGCTGTGTGCTGATAACACAGGAAATCAGACCAGTCCTGGGTCCTGTTGCTGACAGTCCATAGGCTCAGAGGAGCTCTAGCCCTCTGATCAATAAGTGAAGTTCAAAGGAGAAAGAAGGAAGCCATGAAGGCTTCCTGGAGGGGGCAGAACTCAAGTTGAGCCTGTGATACAGAGGGCTGGACTGTAGAAACAGAGTCAAGGGGAGAGAGCACCCCAGATAACAAAGATACTTCCACTGAATGCATCAGGGAGTAAACACACACAGCCTCAGATGCAACTGGACATACATATACTGACTATCTACTGCATGCTGAAAACTCATGACCCCAAGATGGAAAGGACTGTTCCTCCAGAGAATGGAGATCCTCTCCATGCTCACGGGCTTGACTTCAGGGGAACCTGGACAGAGAAGAGGAACATTTGCATAGAGGGGAGGGCAGGGAGGAGGGAGGTAGAGGTATGCAGAGAGACAGCAAGTGGAGGCACATTTCTTATACCATCTGCCAGGTATTTGCTGTTGGGGGAAAGAGGATGGAACAGGGCAAAATGTCTTGGGAGCTAAATAGTCCCAGCAAAGGGCAATGCCTCGTCCCAAGTCACAGGGTGGAAGTATAGCAGGATGGGTGCTATGACCCCAGGCCCTAGGTGATACAGCTTTTGTTCTTTTGAAGCACTTTCCAGTTCACTTTATCATAACAGCTCTGAGAGGACAAGGAAGGAAAAGTATTCAGAAGCCCACCCAAATTCCCAGAAGTAGAAGCTGACAGCCCAGATGTGGAGAGAAGTCCAAGGTCACACCAGACCCAACGTGGCATCTATTCCTGGCCTCAGCTTCCTAGATCCTGATAGGATTTGCCTGTGGTGCTGGTCCCTCTCGGAAGCAGCCACTGCCTTGAACAAAACCCTAGTCAAGGACCCTAGGACCAAGTTTCCAGGCAAAGCCCTGACAACCTCCGATTTTGGGGGAAGTATCCAATCCTCTAGTCTTAATTTTCCATTTACAGTCATGGTCATTGCGTTATTCTCTGGCAGCTGATGGTTTTAGCTTCTCTATCAGCCTCCTTTCCCTAACTGAGGTATCTAGCAGCCGCCAGTCAAGGCTGCCTGCTGCCCTGCAGTCCTTTCCCAGGGGGGCCACCAGCCAACCAGGAACCAGGCACCATGCATGGGGGCCTAGGGAAGGGCTCTGGACTTGGCAGTTGGTCTGTGATTCCTCAGAGCTCAAGGCAGAAGGGGCTCTAGGCAGCGTGACAAGGAAGCAGAGACCTTTCCATTCATTCATGCAGTCATTCACTCATTTTTCTTGTGCTAGTCTCTGTATTGGAAACAACAGAAAAGAGTGTCTCTCACTGGAGGGGATGTTAGAGCCAAGTGTTGGAGCTGACGTGGGCCAGGGCTGGGGGGAGTGCAATAGCTGAGGGCTTAGCCCCAGTGGCATCTGTTTGACACTTCTGCCCATACGACAAAAAACACCACAACACGTTACCTCTACAGTGGTGGGTGGTAGGAGTGGGCTCAGAGTGAGTTGGCCAATCTCTGGATACATGTACTTGTGTGCATGGGTCTATAAGCTTGCCCCTCAGAGCACACCCAGGAATCCGCATGGACCCAGAGGCATGAATGTTCAGGTACGTATGTGCTTATGAATCTATGGACACATACCAGATTTGAGATGCACTCAAATCGATGTTCATATGTGCATATGTACAAAGAGGCCTGCATGTACTTACATGAGGCACATCTGAACCTGCCTGGAAGTGTGCACAGTTTGCACAAGCCTTCCTATGCATGTGCATGCACACCCAAGTGAGCAGGGGTCTATGTGTGCTCACATGTGGACACATCTAGATTGTTTATGCATCAGACTTGCCTCTTACAAGTGCATGTGTATGTACAACCTCACATATACATTTGTACAGACTTGTCCAATCCTGTGTGTGCAAGTTACTGTGCTCATCTGCCAATATCTGGGAGTGATGATGAGGATAAGGGAGAAAGAAGGGGGAGCCAATAGGTGCTCCCCCCAACACACACACCCCACTCCAAGCATCCTCAGCCCTGATCCTTAACATTGGTCCTTGCTTGAGTCCCAGGCCACCACAGGGTCTGCCTCTTCTCCTTAAGTGGTATTGATCTGTTGGTCGATCTGTTAAATATAACCTCAAGGAAGGAGTCAACTAACAACCATCCCTAATTCAGGAAAAAGAGAGAGAGTGATGGGGGTGGGGGTGCTCTATTCCCTACCAGCTCTGCTGATACCAGAATGGCCTGCAGATCAAGTGTCAGCCTCTCCAGCCTGAATAATTCATGTCAAGGCCAGGAGGGCTCCCTTCTCAGGAGCCTGTCCCTTTAAATCAGATCTGGAGCTCCCCAGTTCTGGAAAAAAAATCCAAAACAAAACATACCTATAAACAGCTCAGCCCTGGCACTCTCTGGGACCCCCCACTCCATGTTTCAAAATCTGTTCCTGTTCTCCCAACCTCTGGAGCTCCAGACCATCCTACTCATTCACCATTTATAAGTGGGGTACCCTGGAGGGAATAGGGGGAGGAGGGGCAAGGGGCAGTTGATACATCCAACAACCTCAGGGTCCTGAGGCACAGTAGAACAGCCTAGTGGGGTACCCAGTGCTGGGAAGGTGAGGGGACAGCAAACAGCTGAATCACCACACCCACCAGGTCCCTGGGCCAGGAGAGTGCCTAGGGGAGGAATCCAGCCCAGGGAAGGACTCCCCTCAGAGCAGCCAGTGAGTTGCGGGGGGGTAGGGAAGAGCAGAGAGAAAGAAGTGGGTGTTGCTGACTTCCCAGGGGGATGGGGTGGGGTAGGGAAAATGTTGGTCCATAGGACTTGCAGGGGTGGTGATCCAGCCAGGCCTAATGTAACTAGGGTCTCGAAAGAGGGGGCCAATGCGGGGGAATTTCCAGTCTCTCCTAGAAGAGCCCTGCAAGGTGCTTGCTGAGATTAGAAAGAAGCTGAAAAATGAGTAACTTTCTTAGCCCACCCCTCATCCCTGCCTTTGCTTGCAGAGGGAGCTCTGAAGTCCTCCCCGCAAATTCTTGTTCCGTGGTGCTGACCCACCTGCCTGCTCTCCCCGGCCGACCCCGCATGTGCCAAATAAGGAGGAAGAAGAAATCAGCTTAAACGTGGGGACCTGGGGGCAGCTGATGCGGAGCAAGTCAGAACCTCGGAGAGCCAAACTTCTCAGCAGCCAGGAGCTGAAGACGGTGGGGGGGTGGGAAGAAAGCGCAGCAGCCTAAAGCCCTGACTCTCGGGAGCTTCCCACCCCGCCTCTTAGCAAAGAGGGTGCGGAGGCTCCTCTGGGGGAGGAGGAGGAGGACGCCGGGAGGCGGGAAGGGGGGAGACAAACCCTGCCCACTCGGCTCTGAGCCCGGAACGGCCGCGGAAGCCGGAGGCCGGCGCGCAGGGCAAGGAGGGCACTGGGGGCGGGGGGCTCTGCTCCTCCTCCCCGCCTGACCCCTCTCGCCCCGGCCGGGAAAGTGAAGGCTCCTCGGACTTCAGAGCCAGCGAACGGACGCCTGCGACTGCCAGCTGCCTCGGGTGAAGGACTTGCCCCACCCTCCCCACTCCCCGCGCCCAAGGCGCTCCCAACTCACTGGTGAGCGCGGCGGCCCGGGAGCTGGATGCGAGAGCAGCCGCGATGGCCCCGCGCGCGGGACAGCGGAAGCCAAGGGGGCCGCTGCTGCCGGGGCTGCTGCTCGTGGCGGCGGCGCTGAGCCGGCCCGCCGCGCCTTGTCCCTTCCAGTGCTACTGCTTCGGCGGCCCCAAGCTGTTGTTGCGCTGCGCGTCGGGCGCGGAGCTCCGGCAGCCGCCGCGGGACGTGCCGCCCGACGCGCGCAACCTCACCATCGTGGGCGCCAACCTGACGGTGCTGCGCGCTGCTGCCTTCGCCGGCGGGGACGCGAACGGGGAGGAGAAGGAGGTGGGCGGCGTGCGCCTGCCGCTCCTGACCGCGCTGCGCCTCACGCACAACAACATCGAGGTGGTGGAGGACGGCGCCTTCGACGGGTTGCCCAGCCTGGCGGCGCTCGACCTGAGCCACAACCCGCTGCGCGCTCTGGGCAGCGCTGCCTTCCGCGGGCTGCCCGAGCTGCGCTCACTGCAGTTCAACCACGCGTTGGCGAGAGGCGGGCCCGCGCTGCTGGCCGCGCTGGACGCCGCGCTCTCCTCGCTGGACGAGCTGCGCCTCCTGGGCATGGCGGGCAACGCGCTGAGCCGCCTGCCGCCCGCCGCGCTGAGCCGGCCGCACCTCGAGCAGCTGGACGCGCGCTTCAACGCGCTGGCTGGGCTGGCCCCCGACGAGCTGCGCGTGCTCGAGCGCGATGGCGGCCTCCCCGCGCCTCGCCTGCTGCTGGCCGACAACCCCCTGCGCTGCGGCTGCGCCGCGCGCCCCCTGCTGGCCTGGCTGCGCAACACCACGGAGCGCGTACCCGACGCGCGGCGCCTTCGCTGCGCCGCCCCACGGGCACTGCACGGCTGGCCTTTCCTGGACCTGGAGAAAGCGAGGCTGCACTGCGCCCACGGCGACGCCGACGGTCGCGGGGAAGAAGTGGAACTCGCTGGCCCGGAGCTGGAAGCCTCCTACGTCTTTTTCGGGCTTGTGTTGGCGCTTATCGGCCTCATCTTCCTAATGGTGCTCTACCTAAATCGCCGCGGCATCCAGCGCTGGATGCGCAACTTGCGCGAGGCCTGCCGAGACCAGATGGAGGGCTACCACTACCGCTACGAGCAGGACGCTGACCCGCGCCGCGCGCCCGCCCCGGCCGCCCCGGCCGGCTCCCGCGCCACATCCCCGGGCTCGGGCCTCTAAATTTTGCCTTTTGGAGGTTGGGGATGGCCCTTGCCAGCTGAGGACCTTACTGGGACTGCCTGGCCTGAAGCTGTGGGTATGAGACACTCAAGAGTTTGGGGTTTTGAGACCTGCCCTGACTGGTCCGAGACCTTCTGATTATGGCATCCCTCCCCAACCCCGAGGCCCCAAGCTGTATGCCCTCTTACCAGCCTCTGAGAGCTGTCACCGTCAAAGACCCAATGACACCCCTTTCTGATTCCAAAAGCCTACCTGCGCATCCAGGCTCTGGCACATCCCTCCTGAACCACCAAAAGCCCCCTCCCCATCTCAAGACTCACTTGAAGACCTTGTCCTTAAAACCAACAGCCATGAGACTGCCTACAACACCCTGTGCTTTGAGCCCTGACCTCTCAGCAGGAAACATCAGCCTAGACCTCACTGATCCCATCTCCCGTGTGGAGCCCTCAGCTCCCTTCCCAGGGCTCAGGGGCACTTCCATCCCATTCTGGCCTCAGAAGCAGAGCACCCCAACCAGAAGGCTGTGTAGACTTTGAGCCTGTTTTCTCATCTAGTAACTCTGAGCCCTCCATCCTGCAGAGAGACCCACTTCCCCCAGGCTCTGAGGATTGGGCACATGCCCCCAATCTGAGGATGTATTTCATACCACCACCATCCCAGCTCTAGCTCAGGCCTCCTTCTCTTCCCAGACTTGGGGCTCAGCTCCCCTCTCTCTCTCCCATCCCAGGGACAGGCATACCCCATTATAGCCTTAGTATGGAGCCACCTCAGCCTTTCCCACCAGGGCTCTGATTCCCCAAAATACTCAGTGCTTGTCCACAATGTCAGACTGTCAGCTCTTCACCCCAATCTGAGTTTCATTCCCCTGTCCAAGTCTTAGGCTAATTCCCCCCACACCTATCACTTGCACTAAGTACCCACACTTGCCACTCACTGAGGCAAGTTCCACTGAGGAATCCATCCCTGAGATGTGCTCACCATCCTTTCCTCCTAGGATAAGCTCTCCAAGCCTGAAAGACAGGTGCAGGTGCCAAGCAGACCCCAACTGTACTGGCAGATCCCCATGGAGTAGGAGAGAGTCCTGGGGGTGTGAAGTAGATGAATGGGCCTCAGAACCAGGGTCACCTGTCTATCGGCCTCTCAGAAGGGTCAGGTAGGAAGCTCTGAAGGGCTGGGAGCCACTGGCCACATCCTCTTTCCCACCCATGTGACTTCTCACCTGGGGATTCCTTGCTGCTGTGCCCCCCCACACCTCCCCTCGTGCCTTCTGGAAGAGGAAGGGGATCTTGCCCCCTGTCTCAGGCACAAGCCCTCCTGTTTAGGGTCAGAGCCTCAGTGCCCTGCCTTCTGCATGATCCCAAAGCACAATTGGTGAGTGGAGAGGGGGCTGCCTCTCCCTTACTCCCACCCCCTAGATCAGGCAGAATGGCTGGCCTGTGCTGCCTCTGCACACAGGAAGTCACCTACCTTCAACATAATGGCTTGAGGCCTGCCTTCCCACACTCACCTGAGAAATCTGGATCTCCCTTGGGCAGTTTTCTATAAAGTCTGCAATAATCTCTGATACTCAGCTCTTGTAAGTGGTGCCATGTCATTCCTGCTGACCTTGGGCATTGAAGGAGGTGGGAGGGGACACTTGAGAAGGCATTTTGGACCTCCCTGTGGTGAGGCAGTGACTTCTGGTGTCTTCTCCCAAAGTATGGGAGAAGATAAGGGCTCTTACTGCATGTCGTAGGACTGAGGCTAGACGCATGGAGGGACTTTCCATTGGGATGGCATTGCTCTCCAAACCAGCCTGCTTTTTATCCTCTGAGGTGGGGTTATCCACCAGCAGGGTGGGGTCCTACGCTTCTCTGCGTCCTCTTACCCTGCCATTCCTTATCATGGCAGGGGTGGGGAGGTTGTGGGGAGATGCAGATGGACTGACAAACACTAGGGACAGACAAGGCTATCAGGGAGGAAATACAGCTACAGCTACAGAGAATCCGAGGCAATTAATTCAGACAGGAAAGAAGGGGAATCACTATTTGCTGCTTTGGCATCATCCTCTGCAGTGAATTGATACATTCTTATATCCAGTGTCACCCCAGTCTCCCAGCTGGAGGGGTAAGAACTGTACCTTGGGTGTGTCAAGGGCTGAGAGGAGAAGCAGCCTGGAGGGGTGTGTGTGTGCATAAAATGACCCCTTGAGATATATGGAGCAAGGAGACAGAAGGGTTCTGTGCCAGAAGGCCCAAGGTAAGAAGAAGTTTTTCTCTTCCCTCAGGATCCCCAGGTTGGATTATTTTGCATTCAGGGTCTGAATGCCCTAGAACCACATGGCAGAAGTCTAGAATGTTGGCATTTTTGCAGTCTTAGGATCATATAATTCTAGAATTTGTGCCTTCTGAACATTGAAAAGGACATCAGAGGTAATGTGGGAAGCCTCCTAAGTTGTCTCAACAAGGAGCACCCTCTCTGAAAATGGAGCTCATTCCCTCCCCTTCTGGGAGCATCCCTTTCATTGCCAGAGGAATCTGCCTGGGACTCCCTGAGAGTCCCAGCTTTGCTCTGGGGCCAGGAGAACACCTCACCCCAGGACAGCTCTAAACAGTGTTGGAGACAGTACCTGAGTCTCTCTATCTTCTCCCAGCAAATTCCCGGCCCCTTCTCCCAGACTTTCTCATAGGAAGGGGTTAAGTTCTCTTGAAGCAGTCTAATCTGCCAGTGACCTTCAAAGAGTGCTCTGTCAATCCTCCAGGACAAAATAGTGATAGTTTCTCTAAAACAGGTTGGAGAAATGTGTCTCTACCAGGTTACCTCCCCAGTTACAAAGATCTGTCCTTTGGTAATGTAGCCTAAGACTGCAGTAAGTCCTGGCAAATAAAACATGCTGTTAGCTGTGGGTTCATTGTCAGCAAAATTTGAAGGTTTTGTATGAGAGCTGCTGCTAAACTAAATATCAAATCAATAGTTGTCAGAAATTAATTAATTGAGTGCCTAATGTATGCCAGTTGATATTTAACCTTAGTGCCATTCACTGTTTTGCTTTAAATGCTGTCTCTGGGCTGCCACTCTTCTGTCTGCCTGTCAGTGGCCTTTGGCTTATAGGATTATCAACAGATCCCCGGGGCTCCCAGCCTTGCATCCTCTGTGAATCCAGCCATTCAGCCACAACTGAATACAACTTTGCCAGTCCTAGAGAAACTAACAACCTAGAGGAGGAATCATATTTAATCAAGTGCTATAGAAAAGAAGTCCCAGAAAACTGAGAGTTCAGGGTATGGGCCCTTGACCGTGCCTAGGGAAACCTCTTAAAGGAAGTGACATTTCAGTGGGGTTTTGAAAGATGAGAAAGAATTTGCAAAACAGAAAAAGATCAAAAGTATCAGCTTATGTAAAGGCCAGGAAACAGGAAGATCTTGTTAGTCTGAGAATTGGAGAAGACCATCCATAGCTGGGTGTAAGTAGGAAGATGCCTGTGGGTATAAGATGGATCTGTGTTCCCACTTTCTCCCCTGGGAGGTCCTAAAGGGACCTCTGCCCTTAGAGGAGAAGTCGGGAAGTGGAGAGGTGTGATATGTGGGACAGGAGAACTGTGAGAGACTCTTAACTTGTTCCTTCTTTCTGCCCACCCTTTTTGTGCCAGGCCTCATGCTGAGCACTGGAGACATAGACAGGGACCATGGGAGGTCAGATGGGCAGGAGGGGCTAGGGAAAGGGCCACTGAAGGAAGAGTCCTTGCAGGAAGAGGTGAGATGGAGGGGCCTGGCTGGCCTTGCCCTGGTACCCTGATGTCACCCACCCATTCCAGGCCCTCTCAGCAGTGCTGAGGCTCCACTGAATGGCCAGCCTCCCACTCCAAATTATGTGTTTCAGATGTTGTGGGAAGCCTGAGGGGGCAGGGGCCAAGCACCAGGGGGAAGAATTCTGTCCAGGATGTCCCCTTAAAAAGCAGGAGAAGGAAAGGAAAGTTGTGTAACTCAGAAATGTGATAGACATAAAAGCAGCTACACACTTAGAGAAATATGTCAGACTTCCTGGGGTTCTGTGACCCTGTAAAGACTGAAATTTCCTCTCAAAAACAAAGGGAAGTCACAATCCCCACCTCCTCAAGAAGCCTTTTACTTCTGTGACCCCTTTGCTACCCACACCCCTCAGGCCTCGGGCAGGAATGCTGTGAGGACCCAGTAGAGTCCGGAAGTCTGGGTTTTAGTCTGAGCTCAGCATGACTTGCTGTGTTGTTTGGTCCTAGACAGTCAGAAACACCACTGTATACTGGGTCCTAGGGATTCAGCAGTAAACACAGCAAAGCCAGCTCCTGCCTTCCTGGTCCACTTTGACACTGACCTTGGGCAGCCCCTGCCCCTCTCTGACTCCAGGTTCCTTCTGTCCTGGCTGGGGCTGGACTCGTGACCTCCAGAGGCACTGCCTGCTTTCTCTGAAGTCCATTTCCTTCTTCATTAAGTGTCTGCCTAGCAGACGCACAGCCCTAATTTATGAGCATGGCCTTTCCCAGACTGGGGGAAGTGACAGGGGCAGTTAATATTCCTATGGCAGTGTGCTTGGCCGCCTTCAGAGTCCCCTCCCACTCCCCTCCTCACTGCCCACACCCACTGCCCTCAGTACTGCCTCAGGACAGTTTGCCCAGGCTGGCCAGTTCCACACAGACCACCTCAACTAACCCTTCTTTGTGTGAGGAAATTAAGGCCCAGAGACTGCAGAAGTCCACTAGGTCACACAGGGTGTCAGGAGCAGAGCAGATGCAGAGCCCAGAATGCCCCAAGGGGCTGTCCCTGCCCTGCTCTGGGTCTGAGTAACTGGCAGGGCTGCCCCACATCCTAACTCTGTATCTCCACCCCTGCAGTCATTGCCTCTTGCAGCCAGACCCAAGCCTGGGTGGCCTAGAGATGGGGGGAAAGTTGCACAACAGAGGGGTGGGGAGGGCTCTTCAGTCTACGTCAGCAATTTCTAGCAGTCTCAGAAGCCACCTCCAGACTCTTGCAGGCAGAAACCCTGCTGGGGGATCCTTCTTGGGGGAAGGGGCATCCCTACCCCTCCTTGAGATGAGAAAGGGATTTATTCTGGATTCCCAAGATCTGAGGTCCCTGGGCACGAAATCATTCTTGCTGACCTTCCATTCTCCACCGAGCACCAGCTGAGATGGACGAGATCCTGCTCCTGTCCTCAGTAACAATGAAGCCCTAAGATCACGGAAACACAGGGGGGCCCCAGTGAAGGTGGCCGTCCGACCTCAGAGACTTTGTGGAGTGAAGAGGGCCACTATTAATAATTACAAAGGGACAAGAATAAGCTGGGACTTTTCCAGGCTGATAGGCCCTAGACTCCAGTGACTTTTAACAAGACCTGGAGGGCAAAAGAAAAAGTGCTAGACTAGCTAGTCTACCAGCCCTAGATAACTATATATTCCCTGTCCTTGGCCATGTCCTCCAGCCACACTAAACAACTTCTTGAACACTATTCTCCACCCATACCAAACAACCCAGATTCTAGCAGCTGAGCCCAGCTATTCCAGGCCCTATGCCTTTGCTGACACAGTACCCTCCCCCTGGGATGCTTACCCCACGGAGGGAATCAGGAGAGCTCAAGAGTCCTCTCTGCTTTCCTGACCTCACCTCTTCCTCCCATTACTGTAACCCCTGGACCTTTATTTGTATGGATTGTTTTTCTAGCCCATTGTCTGCACCAGACCAGAAGCTCCCCCAGGGTCTGGGCCCAGTCCCCTTTTGGGTCCCCATTCGTGGTGCACAGAGATTTGTGAGCACTGCCCCTCCCCCACAGAAATCCAAAGCACAGAGGAGGAGGCACCAGGCAGGGCTCCTGGTTTCCCTCTGCTGCACGTCAGCTGCCCACTCTCTGTCTCTCACAACCTCCCGTACTGAACTGAGGTTGCATTTATAGAAGATGCCTGCATGGGCAGCTCTTTGCTACTCTTTAAGAAAGTAAGAAAACAGAAAGAAAATGCAGCTAAAGAATAATCACATAAAACATAATTTAGCCTTAGATTCTCCCACTTTGACGTTTTAATACAATTACAGCTTTCTGGCTCCCACTTGGAATTCTCGTCCAATGTCCTACCTGGGTAACGTTAGCCTCCGGCTCAGCCTTTTCCTGGGCCTTGGTCCCTAACCTAGGGAGCTGCGGCGACATCTGTTGGCCAATTTCTGTCAGAACAAAGTTAGTTTTAACTTTTCTTTGCACACATGTGCCATCTGCTGGTAAGTATGGGAAAGTTCATTCTTCATTTAGTCACAATCCATTCAGCAAATTATTTTGTGAAGCACCTTCTATGACCTACCACAATGCCAGGAAGAAGCTGGGATTATTCTAGGCACTTTATGTATATTAACTCATTTTAGCTTAATGACAAATGAAGCTATTTTTGATTATTATTATTATTCCTACCTTACAAATGAAGAAACTAAGATACATAAAGATGAATAATATGCTCAAGATCACACTGCTAATAGGGGACCCAGTTGGGCTTAAAACCCAGAGCCCATGTGCTTAAACCAAACGAGTAAGATAATTCTTATGAGGCAATAAGTTGAGTGACATGAGAGTGACGGTGGTCAGGCAGACCCCTCTAAGAAGGTGGCTTACCCTGAAGAAAGGAATGAGCTCTGTAAAGAGCCTAGGAAAGACCAATACAGGCAGAAGAAGCAGCGAGTGCAAAGGCACTGATACTGACTATTCAAATACTATATGGGAAG